AAAATCTGATTGGGAATTTTGATTGGTTCCTTATGAGTATGACATAGAATTTCAAAGTTTTCGATGGAAAGTAAATTATGAGAAATGTAAAAATTACTGTGGAATTTCTGTAGGTCATAGTAACCTAAAAGACAATCATATTTTTGATGCCATGGGAGTAATAAGAATTCAACTTCTGTTGGAATACCTAGATCATCAAAGATAGGGATCTTACAAGCGTGAGTACCAATTTTGGTTTCAATTGCTGTTTTGATAGAAAAACATTTTTCATAAATATAATCCGGAAATTTGTCGTAGGCAATTTGGGGATTCATAAGAGATGCAGAAGCACCTGTATGGATAAGAATAAGTAAATCCAAAGCTTCATTGTAGAGATATGGGAGATGAATATTTTCATAAGAGTTTAAATCAATGTCTATTCTGGGGATTGTTGATGAGGAGTTGATTGAAAATTTTCTTGAGAATAATCGATTTCATAATATTGAAATTGATCTACTACGAGATTTTCCGGACAACAAGCTTCAGAATAATAAGATTCGAAGGGGTTTGCTACATTTTCTGTAGAGCTTTCATTAGTGGGTTCGGATTCGTTATTAGTAAGTTCTTGAACAGCTATGCTAGGGCGTTGACCATTATTCGAAAAGAAATTGGGTCTTACAAAAGGTCTACGTGACTGGATCGTCGAAGTTGACATAGGCGTAGGATGATTTTGATTATTTTGTCTTGAAGTATTGGTGACAGGGAGCCTATTCATAGGAAATTGTTGGACGATTTGCAAAATTGTGTTGAGAGGGGTTGAATGCGTTCTAAAATTGACGACTTTGTGGGGAAGTATAGAATGGTTGTCTAAAAGTTGGACGAGAATTGTGAAATGATTGTGGGTTGCTAAATTGTTGTCCATAAGTAATAGCGGGACGAGAAGTAGAGGGATTATGAGAGAAATTAGCAAAATTGGGAAAGTTAGGTCTATATGACTGCATTGGCGGTCTAACAGGTTTATTTGCCTGAGGCTTAGACTTAGTGACGAGAAACTCTTTATATTGTTTGGTTTGCAAAATGTTGTCGTGTTCTTGGCACCGTCTCTTAGCTTCATCTATATTTTTAGGGGGTGGTTGTAATGCAACGCAATGATATTTGGAATTGATTCCGCATAAAAAGGAGGTTAAAGCCATCTGTTCATATCTAGCAATCATTGCTGGGGCAATTTCGGGAGAATAATTTAATCGAGCAAATTCTCGTAATTCATGAAGTTTGTTACAAATTTCTGAATGTAAAACGCTATAGTCTGGGGAATGAATATCAAAAAGTTGACGAGTCAAATTTTCTTCAGTTTGGTAATCTTTAAATCTAGTGGTTAAAATAGCAGAAAGATGTTCAATAGTAATAGGATTAGTTTGTTCTGTAAATTCGGCAGGTTCTCCTTGTAATCTAGACTTAATAAATGTTAAAGCATGTCCTTTATAAGAAATAGGTAAAGCGTTATAAAATTCTATAGACTTTCTTAAAAAAGTAGAAAGATTGTTTGAATAGCCATCAAATATAGGAATTGAATCTTTTAGCATGTTAAAAATTAATTGAGAATTGTCATGCTGAACGACATTCTGTTGATTTGAAGTAGCCATTCTTATAGAAGATCTTTCTCTTTCGGTAGGCACAAAACGATTAACAAAAGGCATAAAATAAAATGTATAAAAGATGCAAGATAAAAATGAGTAAAAATAGGTGAAAACAAAACTTAAAGCTATGCACAAAATTTTCAATTGAAAAACGCAAACTTGGATTCTTCAAAAAAAAATCTTCTCTGTAGAAATGAGTTTTTTGATAAATTCTTCTTATGGTTACGTATTAATAAATCTTCTTAGTTGCGAAATCTTCTTAATAGTAATTCTTAACTGCTTACAAGGACAGTAACATCAATTGTTGCTTCATCCAGGGGCTGGTCATCTTGTCTTTGATTCCATATCAATGGTTCTGGACAGTTTCTGGTAGAACTCCCAGTAAGAGAATAGAAATTCTTACTTGATATTGGCACTCGGAGAGTCCAAGTAGAACAGGAGGGCCTTCCCGACGTCTGATACTAACTCTTTGCTTTCGCTGGTACTAACTTCAGTTTTCTCAGGAACTCACTCTTTGGCTTTCTCGGAGACACCGCTGGGCAGCTCGTCTATTAGATATTTCTCACAATGGTGACAGAAACCAAGCCTGGGATCCTGTTCGCAGCGCCAGAAATGAAACTCAGTGTGGTTTCGGTTCGAAACTATAGCAGGAACTTTATTGGATGAAAACAGGATAGGATGACAACAACGCTAGTTACATTTCATATTCAGTTTATAAGAAGTAAAATATAGCAAAATGCAAAGTCAGGAATGTTCTCACAAAGATAACACCTAATGCTGTAACTAGAAACCGGATGGACGGCGCTAATCACAAGGGCATCGGGACGGTGTTAGCCGTACCGGTGAAATGGTAATCATCAGGATGCCATAACTTGTGCATCTCTGATGAAAAAACATCGAAGACGACGGCGACGTTCTAAATACACTCGTAAGTTATATCAGCCGTTCCTGTTGATATGGCAGGAATACTGCCGACGATGCTACTAATTTCCTAGAAGGCCTAGAGTTTACTTTATTGTTCTCAACACATGTTATAGTCAGTCAGATTTAAGCCTTTGTACTGTGAACATCATAATAACATTGTAACAATTTTGTAAAAGTACATTTTTGAGTTCTTATATTTTCGAAAATAAACTTTTTAAAAAGCGATCTCGAATCATCGATCTTATAACTCGTATGAATCGGGTCTTGAAGATGCTCATATCAAATCTAAGTATAATTGTGTTATTGTTCTAGGAATGTGCCAATTTCTGTTTTTCAAATGTGGTTTGCTTATAAACTAGGTGAACCTGGATACCACGCAACGCCTGATTTGGATACTGACACATATATAGTTTTAGCTGTGATCTTAGTACATGATACGTTTTGACGCAGGAAGGGATTGTAGGAGGGGAGGATGGCAGGTTCGTACTGATTCATTTATTGCTTTCTGGAATCTAATATCTTGGTTATCCTAAAGCTTATACAAAATTATGTTTATTATTGCCCGACCTATACGCTCTGAAGAATCTCAGTTTTGATGACACCCTGCATAATAGTGGAGCCTGATAGATAAATGATTTTAGCATGATGCTTTTTTTGGGGTAAGTAGAGTAATTTGAACGTTCTTGTTTCTAGTATTATAATTACCTATTAATTACCCGTCTTCCCTTAACCCTTTCAAGCCCAATTTTTTTTTACCAAAAAAAAAATTGTGTAATTATGGTCTAAAAACTACGGTAAAAATGTTTTTTTGTGAAAACAATTTTTTTAGGAGAAAAAATGATGACTCCATTTGGAATCAGTGGGCATAAGAAAAGAAAAATGTAAATTGATAATGGTTTATTTTAGATTTAATTTTAGTTATAACAAAAGAGTAGTAAGAGTAGTAAACATTTAAAATTACTGATCATGGAATTTAATAAAACAATTTTTTTCCTTTGACAAACATAGAGGCATGTTGCATTTCATGCAAGAAATTCTCGTATACGATTTGATGCAATTCCTACATCTCTGCTTTGGTTCTATGTGTTCTGGCCAGTGAGAAAATCCATCAAATCTCACATCATCTATCAGTCTGGGCACAACAGGTCGTTTTCGTGGAGGCTGTTCAACTTCTGCATCCGACGGGCGTCCTCTTCGCCGTAATGGTGCATTCTGTTGCAACATTGCATGTGCAACTTCAGCTCTGAAAGTGACCAGTCGTTTAAATTTTTTGATTCCTCTTGCTGAACAGTCTCTCCTGTACAAGAGCCATGCGTTGACGATGCAAATATCTATTAGATGGTAAATTATTCGTAAATAATAACGTCTAACACCTATTTTGATTCGGTACAAGGAGACGAGTATGTCATTTAAATCAACGCCACCCATGTATTTGTTGTATATTTGGATAGCATACGGTTGAGGGAGATCAATGAACTTTTTCTCTGATGAAGACCATCTTTTGACATTTTGTATAGGCTGCAGGCCTATATAAGTTGAGACGACCTGCACTGTTTTATTGTCAAACCATTTGACGGCAAATATATTTTCATTCTCCTCTGTGCAAAAATCAAACGAACCACGTCCTTCTTTTTTCAACTCCGCATCACTTTTCAATTGACATCCAGGCAGTCTGGCAATCCTTACGGTTCCAGATGCAAATATTCCCAGCTTTTTAAGTTCACACAATAATTTATAAGACGTGAACCAATTATCTGTAAAAACTTTATAATTTAAGTTTCTGGGTAATGTCTCTACAAGTTTAATGAGAATGTCACCACTGATTCCAAGATTAGTCTCTTTCACGGTCCCTTTTCCCCTGTATATTTCAAAATCATAGATAATACCGCTGACTCCAGCTCTAGCAAATATCTTTATTCCCCATTTATGAGGTTTATTCCGAATAAACTGTTTGAGGGAACTCCTTCCCTTGAACGGCACCATGATTTCGTTTACCGAATTGTATTCTTCTTGCTCAATTTTGGACATCTTTAATTTTAGGGAATCTATGACAGGTCATATTTTAAAAAGTTTGTCATAATCTGGGTGATCACGGGTCAACATATTTGTATTGTCATTGCAATGGATTTGAGTTCTTAGTTTATCAAATCTGTTTCTCGACATAGTATCAGCTATAGGTGAATAACGAGTTTCTTGTGCCCAATACATTCGATAGCTAGGCATCCTGACTATACCAGACATAATATTTATTCCAAGGAATTGAGAGATTTCTGTGAATGTGGTGTTGATACATGCCCCCGTTTGTTGTGTAGAATACAAATTTGTTTGATCAGTAATATGTTGAATTAAATTGTCATCAAAACATAGCTTGAAATATGACAGCGGAGTTGAATCATTTTCCTTTTCGTTAGTAAATATTATGTTACATTCAGAATTTACGAAAGGAAGATCTGCTTTTTTTCACTTTGGAGCATTTTGTACAGCAGGCGTTGGGTGCTGGTTCCGAAACGTAATAATAGGTAAATCGTCTTCAGGGTCAAAGTCTTGTTGCATTTGTCTGTTAGGTTCATGTCCATTTTCATCAGATAGTTTATTTGTGTCCACTTCTAAGTTAGAATTAGATAACACTAGTTCTTCTGGAGAAGGTTCTGGAGGATCGGGATCATATTCCTCTTGTAATCGAAGGAACGTTTCTTGATCGAAATCATCTTCATCGTTGTCGGTTACACAATCCAAATCCGACTCGTCCCCTTGTAGCAACATCAGCAAGTGTTTTTCTTCCTCTTCCGTAAGTCCTACGCACCGACCTACGGTCGGCATCTGAAATATTCAAAATATGAAAATAGTAGATTACAGTGGCCCACTGACGCCAATTGGAATCATTATTAAAGTGGCGTTAGGCCCACTGATTCCATTTGGCATCATAACATTCTAAGTACATAGTTTCAACAATTTTACTATGATTTCAATAACAACCTCATTTTGTATTACTAATGACCTAATACTGCTATTTGTATTAATATTAAACACATAAAATATAAACTTACCTTGATTTTATTCAAGAACAAACAATAATTATTACACACAATACTGTAAACTTTGAATTAACCTAAAAATCGAAATGTCAATCGATATTTCACAAACTGGTATGCGTGTCGCCATCTGTGATCTATTGGCTATAATATATTGCCTGGGATTTCTATTTCTATTTATTTTCAGTTTTCTGTCGTGGCTTTAGGCAATATATTCCAATTGGAGTCGCTGGGCTGGAAAGGGTTAAGCAGTTAAACCTCCTATCTATAATCTTCGTGCACAGAATATAATCCACCTAATGTTAGCTTTCTGCTATGATTACTGTTCTGTTCGACCAAATTCCTGTATCGCCTAATATAACTAAAATATCTGGTGGCGTCCATGTCTGGCGTCTCCGGCAATTCGTAATATGACTGGTCACATGACACAGTTTGGGAGCCACTGCTCTAGTACAGAATATATCTGTAATCAGTGATGGGCTTTTACCCGTATTCATTAATTGGCTACGTCTCGGTGTATACAATGCGTATACAATGTATACAATGCGTATATAATGTATACAACGCGAATACAATGTATACATTGCGTATACAATGAATCGACAATGATGAAGACAATGTATAGAATAGCATAAGTGAGGTTAAGTTTATTCGTAAACATAGGCGTATTTTTTAATTCACCGGTTGAGCCACCGGTGCAACCAATCTTCCAATTTTACTTCCTTTAATTTCCGTCTGAGCGACCGGTTGTACACCAAACAACCGGTGAATTAAAGGATACGCCTCATCAGAAAGTTGGTGAACAGTGAACCGGCAACTTCAAAAAAATATTGTTGGACACCCCAAGAACAAAGAGATCGATGAATTTTGTTTGAAAATGGAATGGCATATCCCGTACATTGTAGTGTCTGAAAAAAAAGTTGTCCTATACCACTATATCTCGATTGAAGTCGCATAAGTATTTTTTATATTTTACTTAAGAAATGTTCCTAATTTATTTAAAACAGTATCTTTGTACACGTATATAAATAAATATTATATATCTATACCCTTTCTCATTATTTATAAACTGCTTTCACAGTCAAACCAATGTTTCAGAATTTGTAGCGATCTTGAACTTTCAGTTCCAGCTAAATCATTTGGGCGTAGAAAACAAGGCATTGCAGCAAGTTACAGTCATGTTCTGTGGCCTTCATCACTGTTGTGCCAGGAACGAGGTGTGTGGTGCACTCTTTCTACACAAGTGGTGCCCGCTTCTCCCCCTCTCTCTCTTCCTCGTACACGTGGAAATCTAAAAGGGGAACTTTCGACAGCACTGTATGCAAGTAGTTGAACTATGATGTGCTAATGTATACTTTGTATACGTATATCGAGACGTATATATTCACAATTCGCCCATCATTGGCTGTAATCATCGCGTTTCCTTTCTCTCAATTTATGTATTCCATCATCTATGACTGATTCTGTCATGTCCATGTCAGTTCCGTCAAACGTCACCTATTTTCTAACCTCAAAAAGTTGTGGGCAAAAATAGTCTAAAATCTGTCCCAAGTGTGTTGCTTTGCTTATTTTAGGTTCTATATACCAGTCTTACAATTTTTGTACAACCCAATATTTGTTATATGACTGAGTAATGTCCTTTCGAGTTAGAAGAATTGGGGGACTATCAGGTGCGCAGATTGCTCTAGGAGTCTTTTTAGGCGTCGTTGGGGGCTACTACATTTGGAAGCCAGTCTTCACCACAGAAGCTCCTAAAGAAAAAAGCACTGTCGAGGTGTCATCTAAGTAAAATGTCGCTACATAAAACGCTGGTCTCTAAATATGCTGGAAAACCAATTCTGCTTGCTGTGGTTGTAGTAGGATTTAGTATCAGTTTTTATACAGGTTATTTTCAACTGTACAAGCCATGGGCAAAACGCAACCGCATGAGGGAGAATGAAGAATATGCCAGTTATATATTTGAACAAGAACAAAGAAAAAAGCAATAGAACTTCATAAATTGTAGATAAGATTTATAAAATATTTTAATAAAAATGTGTATAGCATTGCATTTATGAATATAGTTCTGTAGACATGTTCAAATCATGACTATTGCCAAAAAAAGCTTTTACAATTCTGATTAGAGCTACCTGCCACAAATACAAAGTGTATCGAGTTTAAAGGGTTGGGTTAAAAAAAATTGACTTGCAGATTATTTTCTATTGCAACTGATCACTATGGTTCCCTTTAGCTATGCATTAAAATTTATTGAATGCACAGAAAAACCACAAAAAGTATTTTTCGAGGAAATCTCGCATAATTGGCAACATCGCTAGTAGAAGTGGGAGAAATTATTTTAAACACCAATAAAATGTACCGCCATATTCTAGGTACCTACTAATACAAGGGTGTAAGGTGTAAGGAATAATTTCTTGGTTGAATGCTGTTCATAAGTGTAGTGGTTTACCAGAATATTATTGAAAACTTCATTTGCGACGTCTCACGGACGTGTTAGCTTTCTTATCTAATAATTTATTCTTACTAAGCTGATCATGCTCACTTTTAAGAATTTATTGATAGGTCGATGGCACCATATGACGACACAAAACATACACTGTGCGGCTACACATCATATCTCTGTTCTGTGAAAATAATTTTAGATCCCTATATGTTCTGTGATTTTAGATAGGTTATAGTTTAGTAATTGTCAAAACTCCAAACATTGTTAAAAAATGTGATAAAATATAAAATGCAATAATTATCATCATATTGCATCAATCATGACTGACCTCGGTGACCTTATTGAAGATAAACATTCTGGTACTAGTAACTTATCCTCCAACGATGGTAGCGATGTTTGTCCTCCCAGTTTATTAGCCAAACAATTAGAATTAGCTTTAAATAAGGTAACGAAAAGCAAAATATTTGCATAGCAAGATTACCAAAGTATATGTTCTTAGGAAGCAACTGAAGAGGAACTGATAGAAGCCATAAATTACTGCAAGGAACTAGTTCTAGATAGTGACCAACTTTCTATTGAACGGAAATGGTTGGTTAGGCATTTAATAGAACTCAGACTACAATACCAAGAATATAGAGATGCTATGAATGACTCGGAGTGTGTATTGAGCTATGATTATATAGTTGAGAGAATGTTATTTTTATTTTAATTGTAGGCACCCTCGAAACAAAATACATAGTGCTTCCAAAAGATCTATAAAAGGACATCATTTAGTTTTGCAGCCTATGCTGCATAGTCCCATTTCAGGGTATTGTGATCACTGTACTGGAGCTATATGGTATGTTTACAACTGTATATTATTTAGGAGATTGTAACAAAAGTGTACTCATGACTAAAGATCCAATACACAAAATTTGGAATAATAAATGAAATGTGTGGACATAGCAAAAATTTTTTTTCTGCTTTGGCAACAAATGCAGACTAGGTAGATGGAGCACTCCTACAATTATATATTTGTTTTGTTTCCGGAATCTCAGTCTGTAGTAAAGACAAAAGTGCATAACTTTTTTTTAGTGGACTTGGTTTGGTGTGTTATTTTTTGAAAGTGCAGATAATTGTGGTAGATTTCATTAGGTACATAATACTTCTTGCATAATTTAAAAAGATTGGCACAATGAAGGTAGATCTTTCCACCAATAAGTATTATTATTATTATTATGTTGATACAACATTATCACTTTGGTAAGCAAAAGTATGTACTAAAACTATACAATTTTGGTGACAAACAATGGAATGTAAACATATAGGTGTGGCTCCTAATCTATTCAACCAACTTCACACCATTTTTCTTTTATTATAGGAGTGTGGTTCAGACATGGTATGAGTGTCAAGACTGTGGTTATTCTTGCCACTACAAGTGCTTATCATCAGTTGTAAGAGAATGTGCTCATGTAGTAGCAACTGAAAGAGGCACTTATGAATTTGATATATGCCCTGAAGAAGGCCTATCGACTCAACAATATCATTGTGCTGAATGCAATGCAGCCCTCCCACTTAGTAAGTAGCATTCATTCCTACTTCCATACTGAGTTTATAAAGGAGAGGTATTTATGTTCCATTTCCATGCCATAATGGCTAAACCAACTTGAATGAATTTTAGCATATAGATTAGACTTCAGACATTGACATAGGCTACTGTTTGATATGAAAATACAACTTGAATTGGTTGAAATATTGTGTGAAAGTTACTATGGAGAAATTATTATTACTTAAGATTTAGAAATACATACAGGAGTTTTGTATATTCGGTTCTTTGATATAATGTGAATTGGCACTCAAAGAAATTTTGGACATTGCACCCCTCAGGCATGAAGTGGGATTAATACCTTTGATGCTGAAGTACCTAGAATATTTCACATTTCCTACAAGTAGGAGTATGTTTTATCTAAAGTAAAAAATATTGATAATGCATTCCAGAAATTATATCCTTAAGATGGGGTAGGAATAGGTTGAATATTCCTTTGGGGAACCCTATCACTTTTAAAGTTAATCTTATAGAAATTTATCTCAAAACTATTTGACCCTTGAACACAAAATTTAGCAGCAAGATACTTTATGGACAGGACATGTCAACTCAAAACAGATTTTGCAACAGGGCTGGATTAACAAAGGTGTTAATCTCAAAAACTATTTGGCTTATGATTAGAAAATTTGGCAGGAAGGTAGTTCATAGAAGGACACCTCAGTTAAGAAAGGATTTTGTGACAGGGATGGATTAAAGGGAGATACAGGCATTTACAAGTTTGTATGAGTCCTGGAGATAATTTGGTAAGGAGGTAGTTTATAGGCAGTATATTCAGTTAAATATGGGTTTTAAGACAGGACCGTATTATGGGGTTAAAAAGTACTTGCGAGTTTGTTGGAAAATCCTGTTAGATAGCTAAAATTGGCAATACTCTAAAGATAGAGTAGACTTAAACTGGACTGGGTTTTGTGACATGGGCAAGAAGGGGTTAGTAGATGTCACAATTTTGGTATATATTTACCTTTTCTAACTAGAGAGCTAGGCAGAGATTTATGTTCTTAATGTAAAATTGCTAATCTAGCGTGTTAATTTCAAAATTTCAGTTACTTTAATAACCTTACACATACAAGTTTTTGGGCAACAGCTAGTAATGCATAAATGTAGACAATCTCACTACTATTGTACAATTCAAGTATCACATACAAGATGTCGACGTCAAGCCGGAAAAGGGATAAGACAAGTTATCAAATATAAAAAAAATCAAAGTCATGTACTTTTCAAATAGGAAAAGTCTACACCCTGTGATGGTCTTTTAGTTCCCATTTCTACAAATGTACAAATTACAATTTTTTCTTAGATGGTGAGACGGACAATGTCATTCTATGTAGTGACAGCAAGACGGATAGTAACGCCAATTCTATTAATTCGTGAATGTATTTATGAAATACCTTCCTTCAGCAGCAAGGCTAGCTTGAATCTGCTTAAAAATGATTGGCACGGCTATTATGTAAAAAACCTATAAAATGTCATCTGACAGACTAAGTAGTTTTTAGGATGCATACAGTCATTCCATGTTTGCTCACCAGGATCGTTGTGAGCGTTCATCTGTGGAGGAATGGCTCAACTACACGCATACTTGGTTGCATATGTTTTTGAAGCCAAGTAGTTGTAGTTTTCATCTCTGAGAAGAAAGTTGGTTGAATAGCAAGATCGCATCTGGATGATTATGTGTATAAAATCAGTGATATTTGCTGTGTGAGAAGCTCAATACTGAATATGCTGCCAATGAAGTATATCTATTAGCTGTGCCTGATGGGTTATTTATATGTTGTGCTTTCTAAAGACAGGTTATATACAAAGTTATAAATTACGAATTCTTACGTTTTTTTTTGTGTTTTCAAAAACTTTGAGGATAATAACGGGTAGCATGTATATGACTTGTAATTCGACAGTGCACAGTGAATATAATTATTTCTTATCTCTCTCATTTTTGAAATTCAGCAAATTTGCATATGTAATTTCCAAAACGGATAAGAAAAAGTGGATGCGCAACTAATTTCTAGCTTTGAATCTCAAGTAAGTATATTTGAGACAGGAATCCAATGGAATTATCATCAACACATATCATTAGCACACAAATCCTCACTATGCACCTATGCATTGCCGTTTCCTTCTAGCTATAGTATACAACTTACAGCTTAGACCTCCAGTAATGCCATCTCTGAAGCAGATGTTACATCACATTAGAGCCAAAAATTGAAGCCTCATGACGTTTAGGCAACACGTAAAACTACAGAACGAGTTCACGTGTCCATCAGGTAGTGCTAAGTTAACATCTTGTAGAAAAACTTGCATAGTGTCACAAAAAACCAATACATTGTGTCAAAAAAAAAATGTCACTTTTTAAGATACGTAATACCCGTGCGGTTCTGTCCAATATCTAAATTTTCGATTGGTTTTGAGTAAACTTTTTCTTGCACCGCTCCACAGTAAAAAAATCAAGTGTATTCAAGTCAGGTGAACGGGCTGGCCACGAAATTGTATCAGACCACCCTATCCATCTGCTAGAGTATTCCGCATCAAGATATTCAGCCGTCTTGCTGGTACATGTCTCTGCGCATGTCTTCCAATTAATTTGGTAAATGATTTTGCAAAAGTCTAAATAAATTTTGCCATTCAAGAGCTCTGGCAACTCCCATCTAGAAACCCGGTCCACATGTTTAAAACAATACTGTGACCTATCTCGGTATCATTAAATGTGGATTTTCTACTTGCCACTCGTTGTGTAGATTCATGTACCTACTTTGTTTGACAAAAATCAACTCTTGGAAGATAATCCCGGAGATGTAGAGATTGTATTCGCTTCACGCGGTACGGGTGGAGCTCGTTCTTTTGGCCACTCCCATGCTTGCTTCTATTTGAGGTTCTGAAGCACTCGGGACTTCTTTAACTGCTTATAGTACGACGTCCTGGTATCGTCCCTCTGAGAGTAAACGGTGCACACTCACGAAAACTCTGTGAACGGGATGACGACCAGCATTTGAGTTCCTCTCACCATAAAGCCTAGCTGCAGCACTAGCATTACATCTACATACGTAAATGAAGTGCATGTTGGCATATTCCTCTACACATGGTGACACGACACAATCATGACTTAGTAAAAGTGGTGTTGCTACCTGTCTTGGTGTCACTACATTTGACTGACACTGTCACTACGTAGAATGATACTTTAACACATCACAGGGTGCAGATTTTTGTATATATTTTCTGATAACTATTATGAATTGGTCTATCCTCCCTTTCCGGCTTGACGTCGACTTCTGGAACACCATGTATAAAAAGAGAATGTAAATCAGTGTAAATGGCAACACTGGTAGCTGGTTTGGTGCCTCCTGTCTATCAACATGTGTTTGTGAAGCGGATGATCAAGTCTTGCTGCTAAGTAAGCATTAGCTAGCCAGGGTTACCACTTACACTTCTATAATGCTTGAGTCATGTACTACTTAGTGAGGTAGTGGCAGCTAAAACTTATTACTGTAAACCGTCATTTTTTATTTTTCCTGTAATATGTATATAACCATAGTATGATGTTTAAATCAGAATTTGTCAGTAGTAACTTCTGTGCTGCCTCTATATACAGGGTGACTTTGAAGTTGAGTCATTAATTTTCAGATAATGATTGTAGAAGGAAGATAAACCAAAATATGTGTGTAAAAATAAAAAAAATGTTACCTTGTTTTATAAAGTATCCTCCCGACATGTATTTCAGTGCGGACCTGTATTTGATCGTGCGGTCTTGGAGCACCGGCAGGCCCTCCCCTGTAAGGTCTTAAGTCTCCTGATTCACGAGCCCTTTGTACTATAACAAAGGCACGAGGGGTTGGTTGCACTCGATTGGGAAACCGATTCGCATAAATCCGTGATGCATCCGGGAGCATTTTGTAAATACTGCCCCCCCGTAAATAAGAATCATGTCCACAAGTTCAGCATTTTCGTAAACATGTGCCATTTTTTATTTCGTTTGAGCCACGCAACAAACACCACTATTCACTCACGCGTTACCGACTGACGAAAAACATCGTGATAAACGTTTCAAATTCTTTCGCTTTTTTGTTTCCGATGCGATGAACCGATAACGCGGATTATATACGTTGTTGCCAAACACGAGCACATAATATTATTATTGAGACAGGGCGGTACTCAAACTTCTAAAGGTAACTTTGTTACTTTAATTTTACCAGAAAAATGTTAAAGGAAAAAAACATTTCTTTTGATCAGGTCTACTCACTGTTAAAATAAATGACTCAACTTCGAAGTCACCCTGTATATATATACATATATAACTTTAAATTTGCCTGAGCAGTACTTATTAGTCTAATTAGAAATGTATTATGTTAGCTATACCAAAAAGGATTTCCTGTCTGGGTAGAGTAATATTCCAAGGTAAAAAGCTTTGTATGTTTAGGCGCTTTATATATAGTTTTTTACTAATCAAATTTCTGCAAACTTGGCAAACTGACCACTTATAGAAATTCATAATCTATCCAAATAGCTTACAACATAGTTTTTAATTTTTCTATAACTAACATAAAACAGGCTTTTTAGGCAATTGGTGTCATTTTAGTCATAGCTCAGTTATATTATTAACAGGTTCATGACATATAACATAATTAGAACACATCACATTGAATGAATGAATCTTGAATTTTAGAGGCATCCCGGCCACCATAAGGAGCCAGTGCATAGGCCGCTTAAGCGGGCCCTTATGCACCTCTACAATACTTAAATCACAAGCCTCGCCCTTTTAGCGAAGTTGAGAATCGCCTTGAGTCCAAGCTCCTTTACGTCCTGAGGGTCCAAAGTAATGGACCCCAGTATAGTCTGCCTATAGTAGCTCAGAGCTTCACAGCGACACAAAACGTGCGCCGAGGTCTCTTCCTCTACTCCGCAGCGTTCGCATAAGGGATCCTCAGCCACCCCCATCACGTGCAGGTGCCGCCTTAACGTGTTATGGCCAGACAACAGTCCCACCAGCAACCTTAGGTTGGCTCTACCCAGAGATAGGCAGAAGCGTCCATCCTTAGCACTGGGCCCTTCAATGAGCTCTCGTGCCTGGCGGAGATGTCTAGAGATACTTCTCCATTTCTGAGAGTGTTGTCTTGCAACCCACGTCTCCATTTTCCTCCTAGCTTTATGCGCGGTTACTCCTAGAGCTGGCTCAGGACCAACGAGCTTGCTGGCTGATCCTGTTTTCGCCAGAGTGTCCGCCGTCTCATTACCCCTTATCCCAGCGTGCCCCGGTACCCATATTAACGATACCGGATGCCTCGCTGCGAGGCAATCCAGAGCCTCCCTGCATTGCAATACAAGACTCGAAGTAATCTTACATGCACTTAGTGCTTTCATTGCAGCCTGGCTGTCGGATAAGATTGTTATTCTTCTCCTAGGCCCACCCTCCTCCAGAATGTGAGATACACAAGCCAGAATCGCAAAGATTTCCGCCTGGAAAATGGTGGTGTACTCACCGAGAGGCAGAGATAGCCTAGTTCTAGGTCCAGAGACCCCAGCACCTGAGCCCTCTTCGGTGACCGAGCCGTCCGTGTACCAGACCTGCCCGCTCACTTCGGAGAGTCCTCGGCTACCGGCGTCCCACTCCTCCCTCGTTGGGTACTCCACAATGAACTTGCGGTTGAAGCGATATTTAGGGGTAATACGATCACCCCTGCTTAGAAGGACGGGGTCCTCCCTATCTAATTCGACTAATATGGCAGTATGCCCCTTGACCGGATTCAAGAAAGCCCAGCTGCCCTGACTCCACAGTCGATGAGCGACTACTCTCGCTTCACCGCGGATCACCAGATCCAACGGTGGGAGATCCAACAGAGCTTCCATTGCACTCAATGGCGTTGTTCGCACTGCGCTTGTAATGCTAATACAGGCCAAACGCTGAATTTTATTGAGTTTGGCCTTAGTTGACTCAGTTCTAATGCAAGGCCACCAGACCAGGGAGCCGTACAAGAGAGATGGACGTACTATCGTCGTGTAGAGCCAGTATACCACTTTGGGTTTAAGCCCCCACCTTACACCGACAACACGTCTACAAGCCCACATCGAATTGCGAGCCTTGCTAACCTTGTGTTCCACATGCTCTCTCCAGTTCAGTTTGGAGTCCAGGATAATTCCCAGATATTTCACTGACTGGGACAAAACTAATCTAGTCCCAAAGAAGGTAGGCATGACCAGTCCGTCAAGCCTTCTTCTCCTAGTGAATAGGATCAGCTCGGTCTTTTCAGCATTAACAGAAAGATCGACTTCCCTACACCACGATTCCACGGAGCGCAGAGCGCCCTGCATAATTTCCGAGACTGTTCTACAGAAACGCCCCCTAACCACTATGCTTACGTCATCAGCATAGGCTTGCACGTAGACACCCATACTGTTGAGCCTAACGAGCAGTTCGTTCACCACGATACACCACAGTAGGGGTGACAGAACTCCACCCTGAGGGCAGCCTCTAGCTACGTTCACGCTGCAGCTTACGTTATTCAGCATAGCTGTTGTTACCCGACCCTCCAGAGTAGAGAGGACCCAATCTATTAGGATTGATCCAACCCCGTGTCTAACCAAGGCCTGTCTGATAGAGTCGGTTGTGGTGCAATTAAATGCACCTTCAATATCTAAGAAGGCCACGAGTGCCACTTCTCGCTGATCTAGAGTCTTCTCCAGCCTCCCAACCAGATTGTGTAAGGCCAGATCAGTCGATTTTCCAGCTTGGTATGCAAACTGATTTGCATGAATGACACACCTTTCCAGTGGGCCATCCCTTAGGTATCTATCAACTATCCTTTCCAGGGTCTTAAGCACAAAAGATGAAAGAGTAATCGGTCGAAAATCCTTCGGGCCAGTATATCTATCTCTGCCCGGTTTAGGAATGAATACCACTTTAGCCTGCCGCCAACTTCTAGGTGTGAAGCCCGTGGCCACACATGCTCGAAACACATTCAACAGGTAAGGAACAACCGAAATCCGTCCCTGCTGTAACATGGCCGGAAATACGCCGTCCAGACCTGGACTTTTGTATGGGGCAAACGAATCTACTGCCCATACCGTCCTTTCGAAGGTGACAATCTCCCTTGCCGTGCGCCAGTCCTCCCTTGAGGGCCTGCGCAACTGCATGCACTCTGTGATTGATCGCGCTACTGTGGAACCGGGAAAGTGCGTATCCATCAGAAGCCTCAGAGTATCTTCCTCGGAAGTAGTGTTCCCTCCCGAGGGATCATGCAGAGATCCCAATCTTGCTTTAGTGTCTTTGCATAGGACTCTGTGTATTCTTGCAGTAGCAGGAATGTCATTTATGGACTGACAGAAGTGCCTCCAGGATTCTCTGGAGGCCCTTCTAATCTCCTTTTTGTACTCCTGCAATGCCTTTTTGTATTCTTCCCATAGAGGAGAACCTCTCCTGTGCTTAACTCTGCTAAGAAGTTTGTGCACCGCTCGTTTTCTATCCTCTAAATCTTTGGTCCAGAAGGTTGCCTTGCCCTTACCTTGTACTTTGCGTAACGGGCAGTTTTCCTCATATGCGGCCGTCAAGTCCCTGCTCAGAGACTCGACAGCTGCTTCTATGTCAGAGCCCCTGCCAAGCCTGTATGGGACCGCTCCAAGCTTACTGTCAATGTCTGCCCTAAAGGACCCCCATCTAGTATGCCTGGGATTCCGAGCATATTTATCCGGAATCTCTCCATCAGTCTTGAACAGTATATACCTGTGATCCGATAGAGAGGGTGTTAGAGACACTTTCCAGTCCCTGATGTCCTGAGCTAAGTTAAGCGTGCTCAGTGTTACGTCGATAACCTCTTCTCTTACACTATTGCTGAAAGTGGGCATGTTACCGACATTCAGAACCTCAAGGTTCGATGCCCCAAGAAACTCCATCAGGTCTTCGCCTCGTCTGTTGGTGTTCGAGCTGCCCCACGCAACGTGATGGGCATTACTGTCGCATCCAATCACAAGGTCGAGTCCAGAATCCCTACAGAATGCGACAAGGTCCCCCATTTCCTTAGACGGAGGAGGGTCTCTTGAATCGTAAGGAAGGTAAGCCGAACAGACAACCAAGTCCCTGTCACTGCCTTCCTTCTTATATCTAATTCTGACTGCAACTAAGTCTCTAAATGTAAATTCTTTAAGTTGCCATGAGTTGACGGAAGTCATTACGCAAGCTCTGGGCTTAGTGTCCGGAGTATCGCTAAAAAGCGTATAGCCCGGTATACTAAGCCCGTTTACTGAACCGTTTCTCAGCCAGGGTTCCTGGATGAGAGCCACGTCATGTCGGCCTCGAGTGATCTCCTGAGTAAGGGCCCTCGAAGCCGCTATGCAGTGTTGTAAGTTAATTTGGATGAAATTAAAACTTACCATGGATGTTGAGAGGCCCTTCCTACACCTTCTCGAATGACGGTATGTAACCCCTATTCGGGCGTACCGCCGTCGCGGCCGCAGTCATCGCTGCCACAGCCGCCTTCATCTCCGCTTCCACGGAGGAGTTCTCGGACTCGGTTCAGGATTCCATCCTCGTCCGAGTCGCTATCGTTTTCCTCTGGGACCAGATCCATCGCAGGGTCCGCCACGATGTTTTCTGCGGATATCCCGCTTGGACCCGCCGCCTCCACGTCCGTAGCCTCCGGTGGCTCCAGCGAGAGCTGACCCGGCCGACCCA